AATATCATATTGAATTTTAAATAAAAAATTAATTATAAAATATGTAATAAATATAAGTTTATAATGTTATTATTTTTGTATACCATACAAATATTATAGGTAGATTATTGATGTTTTATGAAGAAAAAAAATTCAGTATTTTTGATGAATTTTATTTCTAAAGAGAAAATCTTGGGTGAAATATTAATTCTAAAACGATAATAAAATATTAATAAAACAGAAAATAAAATAAATCATTTTATTTTCTAATAAAAGAAATCCTTCGTTCTCCGTTTCTCACAAATCTGCTTAGATATCTCATTGAAGCAGCACCGAACTCAACCAACTGAATCCCACCTTGTTCTTCCCAAAACGTTATGTAGAAACAAAATCTCAGTCTCAGCCCAATTCTCGACTCCAGATCTAGACTCCCGCATTTTCTTCTCCAGACCATGGAAGCTTTCACTGCCGAAGATCTGTCGACTATAGGAGGGATTGCCACCGTTTCCCTCTTGCATTCCTTCATCCCTACCCATTGGCTTCCCTTCTCAATCGTGGGTCGCGCCCAGAAATGGACCCTTTCCCGTACCCTTCTCGTTAGTAAGTCCAAATCCAGCATGCTTTGTTATTCATATACCCATTTATGAATTTGTTGATGTTAGATTAGATCCCTTTGTTTTGGGATTTGTATTCCAATTGCCCAGATATGTTTTTCTTTTTGCTGCTTTCATGATTCTGTAGTAAAACTTGGGTTTAGATTTGAAATGTTGATTGTGCTTCTGGTTTGCTGCATATACTATTTTTAATTTAGGATTCCAAGTTCCAACTCATTCTTTAGCTTTATATATACTGCTTACTTAAGGCATTTTTGTACCTGTAATTCACATTTTGTTGCATCGAGCCAATTTTGATGATTGACATTGTGGAAGGTTTCAGCTGAGTGATGATTTGGGGTTTTGAAATTTTAATGCTAAATGTTTTGATTGCATGATTATGAGGATTTTAAGCCTTCTAAAATCTCTTGAACTGCAAATGCTGCATGTTTTTGGTCTGCTATGGCAAAGTTTCTTTACTTTTATTAAGTAATGTTCCTCCTTTAGATCCTGTTATTATTATTATTTTTGTGGGTTGTTTTCCTCTATACTAGTCCAATTGGTTGTTCTATTTTCATGGTTTCTCTATTCCTTTAGGCTTTCTATTATTCAACTAGCTAGTTGGACTAAACAATGTAATAATGCTCTCTCTTGGGAAGAAATTCAAAACTTCAATTTATCTTTTCCTACCTTGGCTTAGCTAGGATAGAGGTGGGTCTTCTTTTCATGATTAAGTTTATCTTGGAATTTCAAATCTGGATTTCCATTGTTTACAAAAATATCAATTGAATGAAGAAATCTAATTGACAAGCCTTTTTGGTATCTAACGATATAACTTTTAATATATTATATGACCCTGGCATTCTTCTTACCTTTATCTTTTCTTCATGCAGCTGCATTTGGAGCAGTTTTGCATGTAATATCCACTTCACTTCTCGGCATAACAGCTATCACTATGGCAAACACGATTGCTGGTGAAGAAACAGTGCACAAACTTGCTTCCCTTCTGCTTGTGTTTCTTGGCGGTGGCTACATCTTGTTGTTTTTGACTGGAAAGGGTGGCCACAGTCATTCTCACAACCAACCCATGGAGAAAATGGCCGTTGCTGGACTCATTCTTGTTCCTGCATTGTCCCCTTGTGCAACCACTCTTCCAGTGTTTCTAGCTGTTGGGAATTCATCTTCTATGATGATACTTGCCATCATAGTACTGCTGTTCAGGTATTTATTAATAACGAATGGCTTTTAATTTCTCTGGTGGTTTAATAAGATAACAACGAGTCAAAGACCCACTTTATCACATCTTATGTTTATCAGCTTCCTTTTTCCAGTACTCAAACCTTCACGTCTGTATATCTTGATTCAATGTGATATTGGATTTGCAGCACTATAACGGTGATGACTTCACTGGTTGCTCTATCATTTTATGGTGCCAGCCAGCTCAAGTTTCACTGGGTGGAACACTATGACAAACTTCTTGTAGGCTCTGTTCTATGCTTGGTAGGGATCTTGACTCTCATTTTCCATGACCATGACCACGATCACAGTGGAGGAGGTTCCACCGATGCACTTCTGCATAGGAAAATCATTACACTCTAATGATTCTAATATTCTGCAAAATATATGTTTTGAAGGAACACTTCAGGTAAGATCTTTGTCTGATCTGAATTACATGATACTGCCTGGTGTAATGTAATGTAATGTAAACACTCACCGTGCCATTAGTTGATAATGAAATTGTTCATCGTTATTCTTCTCATTCATCAGTCTACGTCTTGGTGGCTTATATTTTTGTTTAATTTTTATTCAATTTGTTAAAGTTTTATTTATTTTTTATGGGGAAACTGATTCACTCTCTTATGCAACATAAGAGTAATCACAACAAAATAATTTCTTAATTGATATGTATCTACTTTTTTATGTCACAAGATTACCACGAGAATAAAATGCATAATCAAAGTGAACATTGAAGTCTCACCACCATCAATATGTATCTGCCTCTTGATGTCACCGGATTGCTATGAAAGTCATCCCTCTATCCCAAGATAATATATGCTTTTTAATTATTTTTAAATTAAGGATTTAAAGTAGGGACACTCAGGGTGTGGTTTGATTTGAATTTTATTATTTTTTAAATCAATTCAATTTAATCAGTTAATAGAATTTTTAAACCAATTTAATTCATTATTATATGATAACCAAACCAATTTAATTTAAATCGGATCGGTGTGGTTTGGTTGGATTGATTGGTTTTTAACATTATTAAATATATAAGATAATGTAAAAATATTTTAACATCAAATAGAAAGTATAATTATAAAATACATTAATATCCAAATCAGTAAAAATATAATAAAAGGTAAAAATTATAAACAAATTTTTATACTCCTTTACATTTGTAAAAATTGAAAAGTTTTAAAAATTCTTTTTAGTTATGTCAATAGAGGCACTAACAACAATAAAAAATAACTTCAAATTTTTAGCACAACGTAAATAATTCTTGAAGATTAAAATTAATTTTTTTTTTCCTAATACACTAATAATTTAATTTAATTTTCTAAATCATGTTAAAAGTGAATAACATTTAACATGAATATTATTAAAATTGATTAGAAGCATTCATAATCAAAATTTAAAATTTCTAAACCAAATATCCAAAAATAGTAAAATATTAAAACTAATTTTATTATATAGTTTTAAGGTTTTTAGAATGATACTTATTTAAAATTTAGTTAGGAGAATCATAAAATTATTTTAAAAATAAATTAGAAATTTAAGATTCTAAGAGTAAAGGCGCAAATTAGTTTTGAGATGATAGAGTTGCAGGTGAATTAGAAATTTAGAATTAAGGTTAGAGTGTATGATTAAAATGGAGAAATAACTTAAGAAATATGGAAATGTTTTATTTTTCTTTTTAATTAAGTTAATGAAGTTATAATCTTGTAAAATAAGAAAAAAAATTTTAAATTACTACAAAAAATATGTTATATTAGTTAATTAAATTTTATTTTGTAATCAGGCAGTTCGAGCGATTTGAAGGCAAAATCACAAACCAATTTCATTTTATATCGGTTTAAATCGGTTTTTGATTGGATTTAATCAGTTTAAATCGAATCAATCAAATTGGATCGAAAATGAACACCCCTAATTTAAAGATAATTTTTATTTTTATTTAGATTATTTTTTAAAAAATGAAACTTATATCATGGTAAGATTGATAACTAAAATTAAGGGATAATAATAAGGTTTATTAAGAAAAAAATATTTATTTTTCTCAAAATATGAAAAAATAATTATTATTTTAGAATTAGATTTATTATTCAAAAGAAAAATACATCACCTTTCAAAATAAGGACAGACCAAGGGAATTTTGAAATTGCATCTACTTTAGAAAAATAGAAATAAAAAATAAAAAAAATCAGAACCGTCCTGAGGAAGATACGGCTCTGAAAATGACCAAAACAAATCCCGCCACCACCACTAATGTTCCCGCCATTTGAAATCCCTAGGTTGTTCCGAGGTTTGCTTCCTTCGTCTCCGGCAAATCTCGGGTTCTCCGACCATCCAAACCGCTTTTCGGTTAAATCGAAGGCAAATTTAGGGTTTCCCCAAATCAAACTTATAATAATGGCCGTGTTAGACTGGAAGCACCAAGCGCTTATCCAAGCGCTGTTGACGCGAGGACCTCTGACGGAGAAGGAGTTCCACTCCATCTTCACTGGCGTCACCGGCCTCAACCCAGGTTGTCTTTTATTCAAGTTTTTGACTTCCATACTCTCTTTTTTTCCTCTGATCCTGAATTTTTTTTTTTTCGAAATTTGGTAATTTTTGTTGCTAAATTTGTTTGATATGCTTCTATGATGCTTTGTGTTGAAATTTAAGATGGAATAATTATTATCAATTTACAAGTAAAGCTATGAACAATCAATTCATGGACTTGTTTCCACTTTTACCCTAGCAACCCCATTTGGGATTTAGAAGCCCAGAACCGAGAGTTGGATTTGGTTCGTCTTTGATTTGCCATAGGTGGCTTACCCGACGTTGAGTTGAGTTCTTTGGAAAGAGAAAATTTGAGCCGTCCATACAATTATCTTCATGGTTGTTGTTGAAGCTTCCCTACAAAAGTATATTTGGATGAACATATGAATTTTGATTGAGAAGTGCCCTAGGAAGTAAATGTGTGGATGTTGATTGTATGAGAGATTCAAGTTGTTGTTATTATTGTATTACTTAATGTATTTATCCATACACTTTAACTTGGCTGCTTACTATACCCTGTGCAGGTAGCCATCCAGAACGGTTTAATGACTATCTTTTAATGATAAACAAGGAACTTTCCTTTGTTCAGTTTGACTTACGGGCTTGTAGAGACCAATACACTGGCCAGGTGTATTACGGGGTAACTAATAATGTTTCAGATGAACAATCTAAGCTTGGAACAAAGTATTCAGCTCCACAGATTGCCTTCTTTAAGGGCATTGTAAGTTTGCCTTCCAAGTTTATATTAACTATAATAGTTTACAGAAGTTCTTCTTTCTGCATCATTTTCTTATGCAACGCATGATCATCTCATTACACAAGAATGGGAACAAATGTAGATCCTTGTTGGATTCATTTATGCTTGATATTTGGTTTTCTTCATATGTTCTTGGGCATATTTCACCATCTAAAGCAGTACTTTTTTTTTTTTTGGGCCAATCACCATCTAAAGTAGTACCACTTCTCATATCAACTTCTCTGTTCCTCATTATTGTCCTCTATATATATTCTTTCAAATCGTTGTGCATGAAGAGGTTTAGAGGACTCCATCTCTGCTTTTATGCATCATTTTAAGATGTTTCATTTGATGGTAAGTTCAGGTTGAAGCAATAGCACATGATCTTGAGGGTCAGGGTAGCATATCCAACATTGATGCTCTCAATATACGACTGGAGAACCAGGTCTGACAACTTTTCCCTGATACAGTATACTCATACTGAGAACATATGCAATTCTGCATGTAAGTTAGGCAAAGTAAAGTTATGTGATTTAAGGGCCCCAAAACAAACAAATCCCATGGAAGCAATGCATGCTGCATAAGCTGTCTCTCCTTTTGCAAAGTCTGAATTGAACAGACTCAACTGGTATCTAAATGTTTCAGGTTTGATGTATGTAACTGAACTTGGATTATTCCTTTGGCAAAAGGGCCATGATAATCTTGAAGTAATGAGGAAAACACATGTAACTAAATTTCTTTTGGCCAAGAAATGTTAACATACCTACTTTAGGTGAATGTGATAGCATCTAGACTACAAAAAGGAAAATTAAACGTTCAAACTTATATTCTTCATTCTGCATGCTCAAACTTGACTTATCTTATAGTATATTTTCAGGTTCTGAGTGGGTCTGGATCACAATCTCAAGATGGTTATACTCAAGTTCCTGCTGCTTTCAGGAATTTTACAATGTCTCAGAAGGAAAAAACTCTTAGTGAACTGGTGCAGGATAAGTGGCTTTGTCATGCAGAAGATGGGAAAATTGGGATTGGTGTCAGATCCATTCTTGATCTGCGTAGTTGGTTCCGCATTGCTGATGTTCCATCATGTGAAGTCTGCAATGAAACTGGTTTGAAGGTTGTAGATTTCTGGAACTGCCTAATCTGAATATATATTTGTTTGATAGCTGGAGATTGTTCTGCCTTTTTACTTAGCTATCTTGGTTCTCACAAAGCATAATGAAGTATTTGAGGCACAGTGACAGTAATGGTAGGAAATGTTTGTTGACTGGTTCATTAAGTGGGAAAGTTTAGATGCATAACCATGTGGTAGACGTTGCACATGTTTAGTCCAGTGACTTCTCAATGGTTTTGGCCAAAATGGAGATTATTTGCTGCCTTGACTAAATCTTCTTTTTTATTTTTGGTGACTACTTTTGACAGGTGAAATTGTGCCCAAATGAAGGTTGTACCGTTCGAATTCATTCATACTGTCTCAAGACGAAATTTTCCCAGAGGGTACAAGTTTCAATGCATATTTTATTTTTCTGATCTCATTTAAATGACTAGCAGGTTTGATGTCCCTGAGTCCAACTTGATAACTTGCAGGGTGAAGTAGAATGTCCAAGTTGTGGCACTCAGTGGCCATATCAAGTACCCAAGAGAGAACCCGTGGAGAAGGAGTATGAGGCAAGAGCTCCCAGTCAGAGCCAACCATCTCGAGGATCCAAGAGAAAGAGAGAGAGAAGTGGCCAAAATAGTGGTGCAGATACTGTTGGACATGGTTCCCAGGTTTCTATGGCTGATTCCAGCACAAGAAGAATAACTCGAAGCTCTGCACATCTGAGGTAAATCATTTGGCTAAGTGGGGACCATGTTTTAAAATCTGTATATTTTGCTACATGAGCTTATGAAATGTTGCGTGGCTGCCCCATTCAAACCCTAACCCCTAAAACCTTAAAGTATTTTGATTTGTTTTACTTGTGAATCAATGGTTAGTGTAAATGTACTTGCTTGCTACTGCAAGCCTTTTCCACTTCTCTTTCGATCCTGGCTATGCATTTCACAGGCTGACTCATATCCAATCTTTTGGAAGTATTTTTCTTGTGGGTGTTATCTTCTTTTTCCCAATTGCTAAACCTAGAGTTTTGGTCAAGTCTTCTTGCTATAGAACTAGAAAAGCTTACTTCATGCGAAAAGAACACAAGATCAACTATGATATTCTACATAGGAAAGGGAAGAAAATAAATTATTGAGGAAAACTAACGTAGTAGGTTGGTATGTCGCTGTTGTTATGCTTTTGCATATCTTCTAATCAGCCATCATTATGCAGAAAATTTTCGAAGATGAGCAAACAATCCCCTTCTTTTTCCCTTTTGCTTTGCCTACCCCCACGTGAAAGTTGGCAACAACCCATGTGTAAGTGACAATCAGAGATTCCCTTGGCGATGACCCACATTACCAAGATATTTTTTTGGTAGAAACATTACCAAGATATTTAAAACAAGAAAGAAAGGGCAAAAACCTCATTAGTTGGCACAGAAAATATTCATTTGCTACCTTTATCTTTATTTTTCATTTTGCTTTCTTTCTACCATGATTGTGTATGTTCGAAATGCCCTTTTTTCTCTCCCAAACAGGGAAAGGAGTTGATTAAGGTAGCATTTGGATGTTCTGTAGGAAATGAATGTTTCTGCATTGGACTGTGAAGATGAATGTCTGTTGCCCATTTCTGATTCATTACATGAATAATCTTGGTCTATACGATTTTCTCATGGGAAACGCAGCTTAGGTTTTACTTGGTAGATGTGAAGATGTTTTGATTCTCTTCTGCTTGTTCTCTGCATCACCATCAATGAGGATCCCAAGCTTTCTCCAAACCTCGTATGGTATCTATTCATAATACATTCAATTAATATCATAAACAAGTGGGTCTGAGCTTAAATGCCAGAAGAAAAGTTGCAACTTTCTTTTTGAAGATTCTGCTATGTAAGATCAGTGGTTGGTAAATATAATAAAACAGAGTTTGGTAACATTTAAACTCTTGTTTCCTTTTCATCTACCCCTTTTGGCTTCTTTACATTTTTTCCAGGTATTCTCAGAATTTTAGATGGAAGTCAATGGTTGTGGAACCGAAGATTTGCATTTTTAATTTTAGGGTTCATGTGGGTTGGGGCCAATTGTAGCATCCAAGCAATTTTTAGGAGGGAAATTATTATTATTTTTAATAAAAAGAAAAAAACAACAAAAAGAGTTAAAAAAAGTCACATCAACAAACATGACAATTTTTATAACAATATTTGTAGATTAAGAATTTATTTAATTCTTCATTTTTAGAGGCATTTTAAAGATTAATTGAGTTAAACATCTAAATATTAGTGTTACTAAAATTTACTATATTTACTAAAAATAGTAGTTTATACAAGAGTAGGGTGAATTAGCAGCACCTAACTTTCAATTGGATGACATTATGATGACGCAGATCTTGTTGGGGACCATAAATAATGTTTCTTCATACTTACT